GTAGATGACAGTGAAGAAAAGTAATAATAACATTGTCTTTCTCTTTTAGAAAAAATGGCTCTTCGTGGTAAAGAAATTCTTCCTGGAGAGGTTTTACCTGTGGTGATCATCGGTAAGAAACACACATGCACATTTGCACCGTCTTTGTTTTGCTTATGTAATGTTAAACCACAAAGGAGCAGCAGCAGCTTTGAGTTGGTGGTTGCTATGATAAGTTTCTTCATGATGTAACCAACTGTGAAACAGCACAAGGGCCTTGTTTTCCAACCTTCTTACAGGCACCTGAACACACCGCTTACTCAAGAAGTTCACACTTTGCGCTACATTACCAGGCAACTGTCAGGTTGATTGTTAAACCATACGTGTTGCTGAATGTTAACTGCAACTGGAAGCAAAATGTGTCGTTTTTATACATGTTCTTTTCTTGCAAATGATATTGAATTGCATCAGGTGTCAGAGCTTCAGGAAAATGTCTGTGATAGAAAGATCTTTATTGCAGTTTCAGGTTTTTGCACAAGTCTTGGCTTCTGGATTACAACACAGTAAAACAGAGCTGCACAGATTTTACCAGCAGCTGGTGAAATGCTTACAAAGCTAATTGCTCCATAGTATTAGAAGGTGTTGGTATTACAGAAGCCAGAGCAGGAAGTGGTTTGGCAGCGTTGCACAGGATTATGGTGTAAAAGTGCAAATTCAAAATGTTTGTTAGGCCTTAAAGATGCTCTTTATTAGCAGAGCATGTTTACAGTGAAAGTAGTTTTCCAGAAGAAGCAGCGTGAGTAAAGATTTTACATTTCAGGTTAATTATATAGAGAAAAAAGAAAAGAAGAGGTTTTACTGATGGAAAATCAACAAGAAGTTTCCTTTTAGTTCACAGTGGAACATACACTTTGTCAGAGCGCCGCAGTCCTTCAGCTTCAGGGCCGAGTCCTTTTCACCAACAATCAGCATCAGTCCACTTATCACCAACATGTGCAACAAGAGGTTTCCTGTAATCACAGGTGTCCACAGAACTGCCTGTGTGAAAATGTCACAAGACTCAGTCCCATAACCACCAAACAAAAAAACCACACATCCATTCACAGGGCTTTATAATTACACAAACAAAATGAAAGGGAATACAGGGAAACAACTGATCAAGTGGGTCAGAAGTATCACCTCTGGCCACTGTAGAAAACAAAACAGATGATGAATAAATTCTGTCAAACACTGAAGTGAAAAGATCAGGTCAAACCTCATCAGTCGCTGCAGTGTGAGACACAGCTCAGGTTCTGGCGTTAAGGAATGAGTTGTACACCAGTAGGACTCGGATCCTCCTGTTTGTCTTTGAATGCAGCAGTCTCTGTCTCCACCCGGGTAAAAATATTAAAGTTTGAATACTTTTTGTAATAAAAGCCTCAAAACGTTAGTTACAGTATGGTTTTAGTTTTTTAATTTGTGCAGGTGAGGTCAGGATTGATGAGGTTGTAAAACAGTGAATGTGGTCATGCTGACTCATCATGAGAAGGCGAATGAGTTTTCACTGTGGTGTGTTTGTGGTGTGTGTGCGTGTGTGTGTGTGTGTGTGTGTGTGTGTGTGTGTGTGTGTGTGTCACTGGCTTTGTCATGCAGATCAGTATACGGACTTTAAACTTGCTGAGTCATGCTACTGCCCCAGTGACTTTTATGTGTAGTAGTTATTCAGTGACAGTGTGTTTCTTGGCTCTAGCGATCTGTGTTTTCTACCTTTAGTTGCTGCTCCTTTATCAGACAGTTTGGGGATCATTTGTCTTTTCCTTCAGTATTTAACAGAATGTTTCAAAAGCTTAGCTGTGTTTACATGTTTTCTTTCTGTCAGATTTTATTTTAAGTTAAAAAGAATCAAATAACAGATCATTAAAACCTTAAAGTACGGTTAACAAAGCCCCCCCCCCCCCATCAGTACTGTTTTTTTAATTGCCAGACTTTGTTGTGATAACGCTTGGCTATGTTGTAAACACTACAGGAAGTACATCTCTTACACATGTTGGTTCATTTTCTGTTGTAAATAAAGAAAACAAAGCATTATGAGGACATTCAGTGCTGCTGGGAACCAGCCACATTGCTACAACAACTTGCCGTCTCTCTTTGTTTCTCAGGTAACGGCCCATCAGGGATATGTCTGTCATACCTGTTGTCAGGTTACACCCCCTACCCGTCACCCGAGGCATCGCATCCCAACCCCCTGCTGCACAGCAAGCTGGGAGAGCAGCCTCACCTGTCGCTGCCCGAGCAGGTAACACACACACACACACACGTACAGTTGGTTGTTTTACTTTTTAAAAATGGACACAGTGAAGGATCATTCATGTGAACTCGTAGTGTCTCTCTCCAGGATCTTGAGTACCTATGCGAGGGGTTGGAGGGGCGATCGTCCAATCCCGTGGCCGTGCTCTTTGATTCCCTGCTGCTCCCCAACAGCGACTTCGGACTTGAATGCACCTCTCCGTTGGAATGGAGATACGAGCCGGAGCGGGCCATCCCTCATTTGGTGCTGGGGAAGGGTCCGCCCGGAGGAGCCTGGCATGTATGTGGATCGTATTTGTCATTATTAGTGTTCCTTTATTATCTTTTTCCCATTATTTTTACAAAGCATTATGGTCCTTTAAAATGAATAAACACTACACTACAACTTAGAGCAAGCAATTAATTGTTTATTAACGGTTTAAAATTCATTTGACTTTTACAGTTTGATTATTTGTAGCTTTGAATTAGGAAACACATAAACTGAACACTGACACTACTAGTTGATTTTAGCATTATTACAGCGTACGACTATTATGAGCCAGTAAACATGTATGTTATGAAGACTGATGACTTGGCAGACATTATGGTGGTGTGTGCAGATTACCTCTGTTTCCCTTTGTCAGCTGCTTATTTGCACACACATGATTCAAAGTGACTGCAGCCTGACATGTGACTGAGTTTAATTCAGTCCAACAACCTGTGTGTGCCATTTCCAGGCTATGGAGGGCTCCATGCTAACGCTGAGCCTGGCTAACTGGATGGAGCTTCCTGGACTCAAACTGAAGGACTGGATACGAGAGAAACGCAGGTCTGTCCATGATGAAGCTTTAACGGTACATACAGTACTTGCTCCTCATGTGACATGGTGAAGTCTAAGTGGTAATAAATGTCTTGCTGGCTGACAGTCTGAATTTGTTAGCTCCTGTGTTTTGATAATATATCAAAGTTCTTCTTCTGTGTTTTCTTTCAACATATCTGTGCATGTGTTTTGTACCAAAATGAGTTTTCATGTTTGTTTTGTTCCAGAAATGTGCGAAATGACCGTGCCACGCCAGCAGAGATAGCCTCCTACTACCAACACTACGTTTCCCAGATGTCCCTGGAGAACAGCTTTGCCTGTGGAACCACCGTCACCTCAGTAACCAGGCAGCCGGGCAACCAGGAGGGGTCGCCGCCCAGCTGGAGGGTGTTGGGACTGCAGCGCCAAGAAGGGGAAGAGCTGGCAGGTACAGTGAATGACAACAGTGTCAGAGTTTTCAGGACAAACGTTCTAAAAACCTGTTGTGCACCAGACCAGCTGGTCAACATACTGGGGCATTTATCAGATATTTCCCTCAGGAGGAGGTGGAGATAAAAACAGATAAAAGTGGACTTAACATTCATCACATGATTGGAAACACAACTCCCACTGAATGACAATGTTGCTCTGTAACTGCTGGATGTGTAAATATGTGACTGTTTGGTTCTGCTCCCTCTCTTCCTCCTCAGATGGTTCCACTGTTTCAAAGGAGGTGCCTTTTTCCCTCTTGGCCCACAATGTGGTGCTGGCAACGGGGACCTACGACATCCCGGCCAGGCTCGGCGTGGAGGGCGAGTCCCTGCCCTTCGTCTGCCACTCTTTCTGGGCGTTGGAGGCA